TAGAGAATATAAGTGACGCATGCAGCAAATAAAGGAACCAGGAGTATTGGCAGCGAGCCAGTGTCGAGGAGGTTGGGTTTGGAAACGTTCCATAATGACGCAAGAGTGAGCATGATCACTTGACCGACCAATGTCCGAAAACCAACCAATAGGACAGATAGGCGAGAGGGCCAGCCCGTGAGGAAGAACACGTGTCCACCAAAAAGTCACGCCCGATATATATAAGGTAGAGGCTGGGAGAGGCCAAGGGGAAAGAGATGTAGGATATGGGAGGAAAGGAATAGAGATGGGGAGAGATGTAGGAGAAGGGAGGAAAGGGAGTGAGTAGACTCGAGAATAAGACTGGCGATTGTAACTGTGCTGTGCATCGAATAAAAGAACCTCATCCTATGAAGCTTGCTGTTTGCCTCATACAGAGGTGTGCCATTTTTCTTTGTTACACTAATCATTTCCTTCATGATGGATGTTTTATTTGTTGCAGATTTTCAATGATATGTGTGCAAGGAGAGAAGTGTTGCAGTTATCAATTTACTGTCCACAGAAATCAGAAGGATGTGATGCTATTTTATCACTTCAAGATCTTGAGGTGCATGTATTTTGGGCCATATAAGTGTTGTTGTTTTACAAGATATGTGCCTGGTTACACAATGTTGGTCATCCTATAGTCACATATTTAGATATCTATGGTAAAATCTTCTTGCATGTCACTTCTGATACACTACATGACAATAATTTGTTTGACTCTTTACTCTCGTGTAGGTGCATCAGGAGGAATGTTTGTACAGACTATGTGATTGCCCACAATGCAAGATGAAACTGATGAGGTTAGCCCTACATCAGCATCTTGCAGAAGCATGTCGCCATAAGCTAGTTAAATGTTCAAGCTGCGATGGAAGTGTCCCATTCTTTACACTGGCGGTAGGCTTTTATATTGGAGATAATATGGGAGATAATATAATTGTATATGTCAGTTCACTTGCTCAGCAAGCCACATTATGTTGCTCTTATTTACATCCATCTCTGAATTGTTCTAATTTCTTGACCTGCCTTGCAAAGATCCATTGCTGTCTTCGCTCTAGTCAGCAATTAAGGAAGGTGCTTATCTGCAATTTATATTATTTTCATTGCCTCCCCAGTTTCCAAAATATAACACAGGCGCCTTTACATCTAAACGTGGTACTTGTGAATCTACAAGCAATGTGGTTTTTAACTTTTACTTATATTGGTCAAGTATATTCCAATGGTTCATATCTATCTCATCTATCTATTTAAATCTACGTTTCATAAATGACTGTTTTCAGTCAGAGTATACATTTTGTGTGTGTATAGGACCATGGATTAGAGTGTTCAGAGGTTGAAGTAGAGTGTCCTCATAAATGTGGAACTACCATACTCAGGAAGGATGTAAGTTGCCGTTTAGGCTTTCAAGTTTGAGTAATCTCACTAAGTAATGTAATTGTAATATTTTGAGAAAAACCTGAATGGTTTGTCCTCTCATGAATAAATCTTATATCATACTCACCATAAAGTATAGAATAGCCCATTTGTATGTCTCTGAATTATATTGATATTGGTGTGAACATCCTATTATTATGCTATGAATAAATCAGGTGTTATATATATTTTTTTTAGCTGTTGCAGCATGTTCTTGAGTGTCACATGAGACCAATGAAGTGCAAATACTCTGCATTTGGCTGTGATTATGTGGTATGTTTAAGCATACTTGATGCTTTGTGATCTGTAACTGTGTGTGAAGACGCATTAAAGGAGTGTAATCCTTCGTTGCCAAAGTACTAACTAATTTGCTGTGTTGCATTTTAATTTCGAATTGTATCCATTTGAAATTAAACAGGCAATTTGTAAATTAACCACCTACATACTATGATTGCAGGATGTAGTTAGCCAAGTTGGTGATCATGAAAAATGCAAGGTTCCAGAGCACCTACTCCAGATCACTGAGCATTTTGCCAAAGCTGACCTGAACAGTGCTGAGCTGAAGACTGATCTGGAGGTAGCAAAATGTTCTTATGTATCCATCTCAACCTAGTACAACTAGGTCTAGAAACAGTAGATACGAAATGTGGATAGATTTATAGAATCTACATAGGATGGGTTAGATCCCCGGGGGTGGGGGGGGGCACTCCATATATATATTACATGGTAGCTAGGTATGTGCCGCAGGAGAGGCCCCTATTTTCCGTTATCTTTGCCGTTCCGGAGACCCTAGTTTTTAGCTCACCTTGACATCGTCAAGTTGAGCTATTGCCATGGGTCATCGTCCGTCGTACGTCTGTCCGTCTGTCCGTCCGTCCGTCCGTTCGTCAACATTTAGCTACGGTCAACGATAACTCAGGAACCGTTTGACCCACATGTTGAAATTGGGTGTAGTTGTTACTGCTATGCTCCCATATTAAACGTCCTATTTTGGAGCACGCCAGTCGGCGTACTTTCGAGCCATGGCGATTTTTTTGGCAAAAATGGGAATTGCCATTAGTCAGTTCATGTTCAACGGATTTTGCTCATTTTTGGTATGTGTATGAATAAGGGCTAAGGGTTTTGATATTTAAATTTTTTTTATGCAAATTAGGTAGGGTTTGGCAATTATATAGCATATTATATAGACACAAACAGTCTGTGGTGTCACACTCGTCTGGTTCGTTTTACAAGATTTCATTGACAATATCTTTAATGCAAAATTGGTATTTCCTCTCCACCCTGCCGATAAAATGTCTATATGAGAGTAAAGTTTTACAAAACATGTCGGAACGCAGCATAACCTATTTATT